GAGAACAATGCAATTCTCATGCACCCTAAAGAGGAATCTGAAACATACCACAGGCTCTACTGTGTTCCTCTTGAGGACATTACAAACAAAAGCTTCTCTTTACTTTTTACCCCTTCACATACTGCTTGCCATTCTATGTGTGTCTTAATTTTTCTGTGTGGGACAATTTGTGATTTTTTATATATATATATATATATATATATATATATATATGAAGAAATATACTCTTAAGGTGTACTATATTTATGGGATAAAGTGCTCAATATCAGAGACAGAGCGCATGTAAATATAAAATTGAACATTGAAGTCAACACTTAGAGGCAGCAGGCTGTTTCATGCTAGACGCAATTGTCAGGCCTGATGATTGCATCTAGCATGAAACAGCCTGTCGTCCCCTAAGTGTTGATTTCAATGTTCACTTTTATATATATATATATATATATATATATATATATATGTGTATATATGTGTGTGTGTGTGTGTGTGACACTGAGATCCTTGGAGATTAATTAAACAAGAAAAGAAAGAAAGAAGGAAGTGTAGAGAATCTTTTAACTCGATGATAATTGTTGAAATTGCAGGAAGATAGATTGAAAAATTAAGAAAATTAAAAACGAAATACATTGAAAAATTATGTTTTGAGATAATTCCAAGGAGAACCAAACCCAAACTTAACAAGATGAAATCAAATAAGACTGAGCAAACCTATGACTACCTGTCTCTTCCCCACTTTCCACCAAAAAAATTAATTACTATTTTGAAGTGACAACTCTTTTCCTCCTCCCAGCTATGGGTAAATAGTAGGACAGACTGGGTTCTATAGCCTTGGATGGTAACCTGTCTCAAAGAAGGAAAAACTTTGACTTTAAAATTGTATGTAGCCCTGGAGAAGCACATAATATGCAACTAAGTAAAGGGTTGTTCACAGTGACTCAATGATCTCGACTACAGTCTCCTCCTAACAGCATTTAGAATAATTTGAAATATAACTGCTGCTGCCTACCCAATAACTCTTACGATAATACAATAAACTGGAAATACCTGACCTTGCTACCCATAATGCCCCACTGACTAGCATATATAAATAGTTGAACTGCCACGCAACACACATGGCCTGAAGATTGTGTTCAAGCACAAAACAGACTGTTGCCACATGATGTTGACCTCATAGAGTGTGTGCAAATATAAAAGTGTACTCTCTCTGATATTGAGCACTTTTACTCATAAATATAGCATAAAACTATATTTTTATCATATACATATATGTGTGTGTGTGTGTGTGTGTGTGTGTATTCTTTTTTTTAAACAAATGCAGTGTTTGGGACACTACTTAATTAAAAAGTATGGAATATTTTTTGTAGCCTAGCTTTCATTAGTTAATATTTACAAATGACAGGAAATTGTGTTGAGCCATGGTCAGCCATGTCCTAAAGCAACATGGCACATACAAAAAAAAATAACCTTCCTCAAGCCACAACATTTTATCAAAATATTGATTGTTTTTATAATTTTAGAAGGCAGAGTTCTATTCATAACACAGATACAGTAACAAATTTATCTCTGAGTTATCTGTACTTTTTTTTTTATTCACAAATGTCAAGTTTGAAATGAAACTTTCTGCTATTAATAATTGTGTATTACTAATGTTAACTCTTTTATGTTTTGCATATTGAATGACTTGTATTTGTGTAATCCAATTCTGTATGTAAAATGTTTTCATATATAACTCATTTTCAGAATTTATTTCTTTGGGTTATTCTCGTCTTTCCTTCCATCTTGTTCAAGTGTTAGCGGAAACAAAATGCAGACAGAGCAGCCAGTCTCTACTGATGATGATACCCACCCCCACATTGGTCAAAGAGACGACCTTTAGTGTGCTGTCTCTGCAAAAAGACATCACATGTCTGCCTTACCAGAAGAGAGCTGGTGTGACCCATGGAACATCTGGTTAAAAAGAAAGAAAGTGTCTACCAGCTTCTCTATGAGATAATCAGAACAGTGAGCTGAGTGGTGTTAGCTATGCAAATGATTTCTTTGTTATCCATCTTTGCTTCCATCTTATACACGTGTTAGTATATTATAAATATATTAAAGCATATAGTTGATTTTGGAGAATGGAGAAAACCAAACACTTCTCTCTCTCTTTTCAAACACCCCATTAATGGCAAGTAAGTTTACCAGCATTGTACTTGCCAAAAATAATGGGATTATTCAAATCTATACTAATACCTATGATCAGATGTGTATGTGCTCTGTCAAGAATTAAACCTTGGACAATATCTCAAAACTTGGGATCAATGTAATATCTGTACATTCTATAAAAGTCTCAAAATTTGCAATCAATGTATTAGCTGTTCACTCTATAAAAATCTCAAAACTTTGGATCAATATAATATCTGTACATTCTATAAAAAGTATCAAACCTTGGAATCTGTAATATCTGTGCATTCTATAAAAAACCTCAAACCTTAGGATCAATGGCATATCTGTGCACTCTATAAAATGTGCTATACATTCAAGCAGAATGTAGCCATCCACTGCCTATTTGTTCATTTCTATAAAACAATGTTAATGATAACATTAGCCATTTCCTTATAAGGAAACATTTGGAATTCATTGACTGAGCATCCAGTAATGCTTTCAGTTGAAATTTATAAAACCATAAAACACTTTTTCAGGAAAATAGGTTTCTCAAGTCCAGTATTTGTTTCCAGTATTGATGGTGGTTTCCTTCCTAACCTTTTATTTGAAGTGGTGTGGAATGTCAACATCTTGATTATGTCATTATTTTCTCTTGGATTCACATGTGCTATCCATTTTAGTTATTGCTGCTGTTGAAAGTCCTAAAGTAATATAGTTTCTGGTATTTGGTGCAGTTCTTTGTTTGTGATTCTGTAGTGCCAGTCCAAAATGTTCCAAGAAGGATAGTATTTGCTAAGACTCATAGGTTACCCTCGCTCAAAACCATTTTTAACCATTGACCTTAGAAAGCAGTTGTATACTGCTTACAGTTTAGATACTTCTGAATGGATTTGGTGTCATGCATGGCATCTATATGAAAGCCTTGATCTGACAAGTTTTTGGAAATTGTGCAAAGCAAGGATGAAGTGAAAGAAGAAAAAAAAAAGAATGAAATTGAGCAGGTAGTAGGCTAAGTGAAAAAAGCACAAAAAATAATGTCAAGAAAAGTGAATTAAAGGTGTAGCGTGACTGGCTGTGGTTAAATGTAAAATAAGAACTGCTCAACAAACATTTGAAAAAGCTTACAATAAACAATTATAAGAAAAAGAAAAGAACAGGGCAAAAAATAATATAAAGCAAGCAAACAATATATATGCAAAGCTAATTAACAGTAATATGGTAAAAAGTTCACAAATTAAAAATTGGAATTGATACACATGAACAACTTTGGATAAGTGAACATAGCATTCTGACTTCAAAGCAAGACAGACTGGGACTGAGTCAGATAAAACTGAGAACTGGCCTATTATATTGGGTATAAATTAGGGAGGGGCAAGTGTTTTGCAGTCATTCTTAGTATAGATTTAAACCAACATCCACCTCATTTTCTCTCCCCTTAAATCCCCACTTTTTATTGGACCAATAAATACAAACAAGATATATATAAACATTTAAATATAAATTGCATATATATATATTATTGAAATGAGAGATGAAAGACAAAAAGACATGTTTGCTGTGTTAAATTTTAGAATGCCTTTATCCTGCTAGTTGTTTAAAACAAGTGGGTGAAGCTGTTTACCCATGCCAAGAAGATTAATGAAGTAAGATAATGATGAATAAACATACAGGTAACTTTAAAAAACAAGATAAGGAATTTATTTTCAAATTTACATGCTTGAAGTAGTGTCAGTAGCTTGTTTCAGGAAAATAAATCAGAATTTTTAAAGTCTATACTTTTAACATATTGCCATCAAAAGGAAATGTTCATACAACCAATTAAATCATTTGACACAAAATCATGTTAAAAAATGTCAAGATAAGACAAAGGTTAGATAATTTGTTGCTCACCAAAGTCATATATAATTTGCATACATTCAAAAGTAGACAAAGAAAGATAGTTTGAAATACTTAGCTTGCTTGAACTGTTTAGGAAAAATTCTTTAAAGTGCTGTATGCTGGTTAGGGACTGATAATTGGTGAATAATTTTACACTGGCAAGAACTTCAACACTGGTCGCAAGGAACTGAAATAAAAAAATTTCACATGAGTTCATACACTCTTGTTAATTTAATTTTTCTCTTCATTTTAAATCAAAAAGAATTTCAAATAGACTTGCTACTTTCTTTTCTTCTTTTATTAGGCTAACTGGCTAATTTCTGTGAAGCCAAGGTTTTCATTGGTCCAAAAGCAATCTCACACAGGCTCGCAAATTTCTTTCCTTCTTCTTCCTCAGTTGGCTAATTAATCTCTGTGAAAGGCAAAAATCTTACAAAGGCACAAGAATGTCTTTTCTTCTTCTTCCTCGGTCCTCCAAATTTTATGAGAGTGGGTAAAGAGGGCTATTATTTTGCTCTCATTACAGATGAAGCTTTCTTTCTTTTGGAGCATGCGGGACACCATATGTAGGAAAGTATGTAAATATGACCATATTAATATTATATTTTAATTCATTCTATTTAATTTTCTCGTTTTTGTTTTGTTGTTTATCCCAATGATGCGAACATTGGATTCCCATTGACCTTCAGACATCTGTAGTATTTTGTAAAGTTGAATGACAAGCTACAGGATACAGCATCTATAATGTTAATATGAAAATAATAAATACGAAGAAAGATATAAGTCTGAATTAACTGAAATATGATGACTATAGTACCTTGTTTAAAAAATATATATCTGGCAAATCTAACCAAGTTATCTAACCAAAGTTATCACATTGATTCTAACCGACTGCTCTATTAAGGGAAACAATTTCAATTTGCTAATTAGAGTTACTTCCCTTGATTTCAACCTTGTATACAGTTTGGTCGAATTCGGAAATGAGCGAATTTGATTCTAACTCGGGTTCAAGCAATAATCCTAAACATAAACTAACCTCGGCAGGGATCACAATATTAGGCGTGTCAGGCGCACTTGCTTTGGGTTTTTACGCTGTTGTCACGCCCTTTTTAACTCCAGCTTTAAGAAAAATATGTTTGCCTTTCGTACCGGCCACAAGTACACAGTTAAAGAATGTAAAACAAGCTCTAAAAAACAGAAATGGATCGTTGCTTGACATTGGAAGTGGAGACGGCAGAATTGTAAGTATAGAAACAGAAAAGTGTATGTGTAATTATATAAAAATTCTTAAGAATTAATGGATTTTATTTCTTTAAGTTTAATCGGATATATTACTTCAACTCCAGAGGTTCGAATCCTCCGGAAGGTACATTTTTTCTTTATTGTCACGTGTGCGTGCAGTCCGGGAGACGAAATATAAATACTGTTTAATAAAAAAATAAAATAAAAACAAAGTATCTACGCAAATACAGGTATACACCAAAAATAATGTCCGTTAGAAGTAATGTGTATTATTTCTTATTACCATTATTAAACGTTATGTTTCGTGGGTACACGTGTTTGAGTAGACATCCCTGAGTGTTTACGAAATGTCTCAGTGTTGTCCCGGTGATGTAAGCTATCAGTTCACAATCGGTTTGTTTTTGTTTTTGTATGTGTGAACCCTGGAGCTTAACGCTGCTGTTGGGTTCTGAAAACACTTTTTATACAAATAAATAAATTTATAATTTTAAAAAATATCTCTATTTTACACTTACTTGGACATTAAGATAAGCGAAGCTTTACTTACACACCAAGTAGTACTGATTGGAAACCAAATAAAATGTCAGAAGATACCTACCTCGGTAAAAGGCAGTAGATTTTATTTTGAGAACCACTAAGTCACTATTATTACAATGTTTTACATACAAGTTCACGTTCTGGCATCTTTTCTGAACTTTGCCCCGACTTTTAACACCGCTTTCAAAAACTTGATCCGTATCAGAGATAAGAATATTTTTTCTGACAAATGAGCAGGCTGGGAAAGTGTAATTTTGGAGGGAAAAGTTTCTGAGCCTTCTAATTTCAATAAATACCGAGAATATGTGCCTCTTTGGCAGTGAGTATTATTTGACTTCATCTGTGATAACATCAGGTTGGCGAAGGCAACACCAATCATCATCGGAACCTGTTTCAAAGAAGGAATCTACATGCTGGGCTCTAAGACATGTTAAGTGTTTGGTTGTGAGAGAAAAGAATAACAAGGATTAGAATTTGAACACCGTTTATTGTTAGTATATACACAGTGTTGTACAGATATTAGAAGATATGTGGTGTAATGGTTAGCAAGCTTGTCTCGCTATAAAAATTAGTGAGTTCGATCCTCACTAGGAGCCCCATACTTTCAGCCTTGTGCCACATCTGAGCTACGCTTGGAAAATCATTATTACAAAATAGGTGGAATGTCTGTTTCTGGTGTATTGTCTGGATGGCGATCAGTTTTAAGAGGAAAGCCTGGAGTTGATCTATTCTTTGTGCTGGCCAAGATCACGGTATGGCTGGTGTACGTGTTGATTATGCCGAGGTGATGGTGTTGGGTTGATGAGGTGTTGCCCCAGAGTGGTTAGAGAAGCTACGAATCTGACTATGATGATGGTGCGAGCATGAGTAGTCAGGTGATGTCATGAATCTGACTTTGTCAATGGTGGGTTTATACTCAAGCCAGATAGCTCAGTTAGCCAGTCAAGCCTGGGAGTGGCAATGATCAGTAAGAGGAGCAGCCATATTGAGAGGCGATGATGATAGTGATGGCAGTGGTGGTGGCAGCAATACCCTGTGTGCCAGCCAGTGGCCCGCTGGGCTGCAACTGTCCTAGTCATTCTCAGAGACCTGCTTTTAAGCAGGTTTGGTAGTTCCCAGAGGAATCTCATTTTCCAGCAGAAATGTTTGCGATTGGCCACTACCAGAGATCGCCTCATAGACTGGATGTGATGTGTGGAGTCTAATGCGCAGGAGAAGACTTTTTTTTTTTCTTGTCTTCCTGGTGTTTACATCCGGCCAGCATGCAGAATGAATCAGAATGAGATCTAATTGCAATGGAGTATAACAGACAGACCACCGGCTCTTTACTAAAACTACTTGAGATTTGCTTCCTAGGACCTTGAAATTCCTTTTGTTGGTCTACGAACTCACTCAACTTAAACTACAGATCTTCTGACTATTTCCCCCTTAATATGAGCTCTTAAGAAATCTTATGTGAGTGTTGACCCCTTAAGAACAATTTACTTGCTTAAAGAACTTTTAGGCACTTGGAAAAATATTTTGAGCTAGGCTTTTTCTTCCTTTAAGTTAAAGAAATTTTCTTCTCCCTTTCTTTCTCTCATATTTTGTGTATATCCCTTTACTTTTCTTTTGTGTATGTAATTAAACATTTTCTTCTTCTATTGTTACACTATGAGCAGGAGTTTTTATTTTTCCACCTAAAAGAGAGAATTGTCTGCTCTAAACTTTCAAGCCATTGTTGCTTTTATTGATTCTGTCACCTTTAACCTTAACTCTTTCATGTGGGAAAGCCAGAACAAATTTCCCACAATAGGCGAGACAGCTCCTTTTAGAATACTGACACAATGCTATCATATTACACTGATTTTGGCATTGTGACATACAACACTAAGTTTAGTAAATATTATCCAAGTTTTAATAAGAAAATCTGACGTCAGAGAATTTCACTGGTTATGGTGGCAAAATCACTAAAAACTCCTTTCCTTTTCTTTAGCACACTTGCATGTATGTCTGCAGTTGACTTTATCTTTGTAATTATAAATTTATTATTTTGCACATGAAAATGAAAAATCCTTAAAACCCAACACCAGTAACACAGAGAAAGACAGATTCTTAATAGGACTGCTGATAGATAAAAATTAAAATTTTGATAAATTAACCCAGACTCCAGCAAGGACCAAGATTTGTTTTTGTTGAGGCAAAGAATATTATTGTCATTGTCTCCTGATGTGTAAACTTGGTAGATTTTTTAAAAAATACATATATTTGCTTTTGAGGTTGAAATTAACTTAAGTTTATGTATTTATTTATTTAATTTATCTGTAGGGGTTAGCTAACAGTAACACCCTACTGCATTTATATTAACAGAAATGTAACGAAATAAACAACAACAAAAGAATAACAAAGTTCAAGGCAAAATATGTATTAACAATGAATAGATTATATTTATATACAATAACAAGTACAATATTTGAGTAGTATTTAAATTGTTTAAATGTTTTTGTTTTTGATGATTTGAATGTCAATAATATTTTGGATCAAAAGATTGTGTGTTGTTATAATGTATGCTCAAATATAAGAAAGTATTATTTAAGTATTTAAGGTGAATTTAAAACAGTTTATGTTTGCAAATAATTTGTATAAATTTCGAAAGACTAACTGAGAGTTTGAAAGAGTTGTCTTTCCTTGATTAGATATTTTAGATTGAGTTTGGTTGTGTATTCAAGTTGTAAGTTTGTTTGAAATAATATATATTGCAAACAGAGTATTATGTTAAAAATAGGTTTTTAACATGAACTCTGAATATTGGAATAGTGACATGCATGGACTAGTGTCTGGTAGAAAATTTCCCTTGTCACTTAAAAGGAATGATTTAAGTGTTGCTTAATTAAGAAAAGTTTGTCACATGATAGGCTCACAATGACTTGGTAGGACTGTCTTTTCATTCAATTTGAACGTTGTTGAAAACACACTATCTCTTATTTTTCACATATAATAACCAATCAGAATGCATCATTCCATATTTTTGCTTTGAGCCTATTTTAATGGCTTTTGAAAAGAATGTATGATTTTAAATCCTACATATCTAACAAAGGTGTTCTCAGGACTGAAGTTGAACATGTTTATTGTTTAATTCTTAATTAATGTTTGTGTGTGAGTACAAACCTATACGGCAGACTGAGTTCTCTTATTTTGAAATGACAACTAGTCTATGAGAAGGAAAAATCACAATTCAAAAATCAGCTGAAAGGGAGATGGACTCTCTCCATATATCTTACCCACAACAGACCACTGCTGCTAGGACTGCAATGCAAGTGGTGCCCCCTATGACCCTAATAGATTATGAGACACACACAGACATGCACACATGTGAGTGTTTTGTGTGTATGCATAACAGCTATCAGCACAGAAAGTGAGATTGCATTAACTTTTGTACAAATACCCTTGTATGAATTCTTCTCTTCCCCTCTCAGCCTATGGGTTAAGTAGCAAGGCAGATTGATCTCCCTGGCAATCTTAAGGCAGTGATTATTTTGGCTAATAGGGGATATCTTGTATATGTTGATTATTGTGTTATTTTTGTCCCCATGATACCATTTCTCGTTTGTTCTTGCTTAACCAGAGGGTATGAATTTCACTATCTGAATCAGTGATTGAACTCACAACTACTAGGTGAAAGCAACACTTAATTAACTGATACCTATATCTACTATGCCACACTCCAAGAGACATCAGTTGTTTCTACATACATGAAAAATCAGTTGGTCTCAACATACCACCTTGATGCTTTTTGGTTGCTTTTTGAGATAAGGAGTTGTCAATATACTTTTTTGTTCCATTCAAGTTGTTGCTAAAGGTTTGTATCAATGATAACATCGATAACAATCTTTAATAATCATTAGCATAAAGAAAACTGAAGTAGTGCACCAACTTTATCCTTCTCTGAAGCAATCCCGTGGTGTAAAACAAAAAACACCAGTCAACAAATTTCCAGAGAGACCATTGAAAGTAGAAGACGAAGCCCTGAACTATGTAAAGTCTTTCACCTATCTTTGTAGCAAAGTCAACTACAGTAGATCTTTAGATGATGAAATCATGCAGCGGATTGCTAAGGTTACCATTACTTTCTGCAAACTTCACCATTGCTTGTGGGATGAGCATGGTATTCATGTGGATACAAAAATTCAGGTTTACAGAGCTGTTGTCCTTGCCATCCTTTTGTACGGCTCAGTCGTGGACTCCATACACGTACCATATACACCAGATGGATGTTTTCCATAAAAGCTGTCTGCGTGCCATCTGTGGAGTTAGCCTTCAAGACAAGACATCTAATGAAGACCTGTTAAACAGGTATAATATTGGAGGAATCAAGACTTTCCTCATACAGTCTCAGTTGCGGTGGACTGGTCATGTCTTGAGAATGTCTGATGACAGGACACCCAAGATCCAAATGTACAGCTAGTTAGATCAAGGTTACAGGAATGTAGGACACCCATGGGTTCAATACAAAGACAAGCTGAAGAGCAACTTGTCAGCAGTCAATATACCACATAACACCCTTGAGTGCTTAGCCTTGGAGTTGCTAGAGTGGAGTCAACATGTTTTAGTGGACTCAGCAGTTTTCAATCTGCTAGTCTGAATCGTCTTCAAGAAGTGAAAGCAAGATCTAAAAGGTCAGCCATTCTAACAGTGACCTCATTAAAAGTTGAAACTGATGGGAGAGTCTATATTTATATATATATATATATATATATATATGAGAGAGAGAGAGAGAGAGAGAGATATAGATACCCCTTAGCGCCTTTAATCTTTGCAGTCTGAGATGCATTAGGGGCATTAATTGGTTTGACCAAGTCACCAATGCTAAACTTCTCACCCATGCCCAGTTACCCAGCTGAAAGGCCCTTCTCCAATTGTGCTAGCTCTGCTGGCTTGGACATGTATGCCATACGCTGCACGGGAGTATTTTGAAGGTCCTTCTGTATAGTGAACTGGGCACTGGTAAAAAGGCACAAGGGTGACCTCATCTTCACTTCAGGGATGTCTGCAAAAGGGACATGAGGGTGATGGACATTGACAGGTGGGAAGATGTCACTAACGATTACTCATGCTGAAGCTGCAATTTACCCTGAGAGTTGGAGTGAAGAAACGAAGGCTTGCCACTAGTGAGAAGTGTGCTGAAGAGAAAGAAAATAACAAGGCTATATATATATATATATATATATATATATATATATATATATATATATACCTTACATTTTATGTTTTAAACGTGGATATTGTTGTATCTTATGTTTAATATGATCCCATATTTTTTATTCCTCAAATGTCTGATTAGACTTGGCAGTACTAGAAAATCTGTTATATATATGTGTGTGTGTATATATATATATATATATATATATATATATATATATATATATATATATATATATGTATATGTGTGTGTGTGTGTGTGTGTGTGTGTGTATATATATATGAGGTGTTGCTGCTATGGTTTCTGTTGTGAGTAAATTTTTACAGGGTGGCATTGCTAGCCCAACACCTAACCTGTTTTGTCCTTCTCTTAGACTGACTTCCACCAAAACAGGAATTTGAACCCCAGGTATGGGTTAAACAGCAGAGCAGAAACTCTAGCCTTGGTCAGCAACCAGTCCAGGAGAAGGACAACTCTGAATTCAAAACTGATTAGTCATGGGGTTGGAAACTCCAATCCATAAAAGGCTACTTGCCACGGAAACCCTATCAGCAACATCTTGAGTGGTGAGGTTGAATGGCATATTTGCCAAAGACACTGAGAAGGAGAAAGAAGAGGGTTGCCAAATACAAGAGTTGGTATTGAATATTACAAGCCAGTTTCTCTCCCACTGATCTGTGAGAGCTAGATCAGATAGACTGTTTCAAGAATAAAAATTCCTGACTTGTTTTATAAATTAAAATTTCCACCAGTATGAAAATTCCAGATGGCATTTGTAACAATGGATACAGTGGTACAAGGAGCAGACCATTTTTCAGTATCTTCAGCAATGGATTATATGAGTTCCAATTGAGATATGAGAGTGAATTTGGGTTAATAATAATAATAGAACCTCATAGGGAGAACAATCATTTGTCATGAATAGAAAAAATTTAAGGTCTGCTCAGTGATAATGAAATATTATGTGCTTTATTTCAGAGGTTTTGAACATTACTAGCCAGTTTTGTTTTTTTGTTTTTTTTTTTACAATGAGATTCACCTTGTACAAGGCTCAAGAGCCACTCAAAATAGAGGTTTACAGACAACTAAGAGTCACCACTTCAAGCAAGGTGATAATGCCACCAAGACACAAGTGGCCACTGAGAGGGGAAAGAAAAGGAAAAGACTTTAGTAGGAACCGGAAACCCAATCCTAAACAGGAAACAAAGGATAAACCTCTACTCCTGTACAAAAAACCAGGGAAGAGTGTAAAGTGGACAATAGACAAGTTCCTCCCCTAATGAGCTGTGAGAGCTGGGTCAGAGGACAAATCTGCTGCCAGACTCTGTTCCAAGAATAAAAAATTCCTCATTTGTTTTATAAGTTAAAATTTTCGCCAGCATGGCGATTCCAGATGGCACTTGTATTTTGTAGACAAGAGTAGATTTCTGAATACAATGTGCTTCTTAAGAAGGCAAAAAAAAAAATAATTAAAAATGAAAAAAGGTAGACATTAATTTGAATAATTCATTTGAATAAGTTGTTATTAAATAATTATATTTTCTGTTTGTTAGGTGCTTCAAGCAGCCAAGCAGGGATTTCAGGCTACTGGAGTTGAAATAAATTATTGGCTTGTTCTATTTTCTCGCTATAAAGCATATCAATTGAGATTACAACAACAGGCTCGTTTCATCAAGCAAGATCTTTGGAAAGTAAGTATTATGGCTGGGCCATTGTTTATACAGAATGATAAGAAATTATGATCATTTATAATATCATTTTCTTTCAAATAATTTTCATTTTCCCAAGTACTTTTAATCTCTTCCAAGATCATCTTCAGGGGTTGACTGTGAATACCACACAAAATTCAAAATATTTACCCGTTATGCAAGGGAGGTAACTGATGTTTTTTTTTGTATATTTTTGTGTATGATCACTGTAAGATTCAAAATATTTACCTTTTATGCAAGGGAGGTAATTTGGTAATTTTGGGGAGGTAAGTATATTTTATATCTTTTAAAGATTTTTTTTAAATTGTAGTTTTTAACAATTTTAATTTAGAATTTTTTAAAGACTTTGCTGTTATAAACATTTAAGAATTTTATTGCTATACTTGTAGTTGACTTTTATTTTTAGCCGCAATTCTCTTATATAAAAAGCTTCTAGAATTTTTATTTTTTTCTTATTATTATCTTGAATTTTGAATATTATATTGAATTTTGTAGTGTTCATGCATACATATCCACAGACACTCAACCCCTGAAGAGATTGAAAGTACTTGGGAAAATAAAAATTATTTGAATTTTTCTTGATCAATTTTCTACAGCTACCAAGAAATTAATCCATGGACTTGAATGGATTAAAACTAAAATAAATAAACATATGTCTAAATTATTATTTTCAAAACCAGTAGAATTTTCATGAATCCAGCTAGTGTATATGAATATCATGTTAAAAAAATTTGTTTCAATGATACTTCATCTTTTTCATTTCAGACAGATTTGGCAAAATATGACAACATTGTGGTATTTGGGGTTGAGCAAATGGTAAGCAATTCATTATCAACAAATATGTATGGTTTTATATCTATCAATAACTATTTGGAAGTAATGTTGCATTTTAGTATTTCTTGTCAGTTTGTGTTGGCATTGTACCTAAATTTGAAACTTAAAATCTTAAAATGCATTAGTCATTTGTTGGTAAATTTTTGGGAAAGGTTTTTAGTGAGAGATGCAGAGAATTTGTCAAATATCTTTTAGTAACCATGTGAGGATATATATATGTTACAAGATGAGATCTTGCCCTGCTTCGATAAACGGAAGTTACCATCACGAATCCCCGACTCGAAATAAAAACTGCACGTCTACGCATAGGCTCGACACAGATACTTCCGTTTGGGATAAATTCAAAAAAAAATGAAAAGAATTAAATTAACCAATCAGACCGTCTCCCACGTATTCAAAAAATTGCCATTTGGAGCCGATAGGCGTGTATAAGTTCAACACGGGAAAGTCAAAAGGGGGTCCCATTCAACGGCGGAGGCAGAAGGGTCATGTCGCTCGCTCCTGACACACAGGCCCGGTGACGAAATGAAGCATGTGACCGCTGCTGCTAATGAACTCTCGTCCGACGCTTTGTCAAAGGGTACCTTTCCCCTTCCATAAGTCAACTCCATGAACTTTACTTGCCACTACCATAGACATTCAACTTCTTAAATACAAACCTTTTATTTGTTCTTATTTTCCTCACTAAAAAGACTATAAAATATATTTACAGTCTTTCTTGTTCTTTCGATTCTGAATTTCATTGTTTGCAACCAAACGCAGTATTTCGCCCACATTGTTTTCACATCGCCCACGCATCTAAATACGGAATATAACACTGGTGTCAAGCATACAGCGAAACAATGGAAGACTCAGGCCTCTCTCGCTCAGAAATTCTGGAACTCATCAAGCAACAGAAAACAGCGATTCTCCAAACGAAAATCGACATGGAACGCGCTTGACAACCCCCAAGCACAATCGATCATTAACGAACTAAAAGCAGACCTTCATTTAACTTTTAGCCGCTCTGAAGACTACTACACATGATCGCTCACACTCACTGTGATACGCCACAAGCTACAAACTATTAATGCGACAGCAATCACTTTTTTAAATCCATCCGGCCTTCGAACCAGGCAATAACGTCAACCGCTTTATCACCGACCTCAGCAAAGCTTACACGATACACAGAGTTGAGCGAATACCCCGAGATGGAGAAAGAATTCATCAAACTGGCAAAACAACTCCTTAATGAAGGCATCTTCCAGCAGATGGAAGACTCAAAACAATCCACAGCCACGTTCGAGGAACTGAAAACTTACCTCGTCTCCACTCACGGGAACCAGATGACGAATTTCCAACATCTGAGCCAGGCATGGGACCTCCAGCGCTGTGAGGGGGAGAAATTCACTGATTTTGCAGGCTGACTTGAGAACACAATCCGAGAGGCCGCAGTCCACATCAAGGCGAGATTCAAGTTGGACAAACAAAATGCCGAGATGACGGCCGACACCGCTTTCTCCCTCATGAGCGAAAGGATCAAGGCATGGGCACCCAACATTTATCCACACCTCATCAAAACCATGGATAGACACTACTCAGCGGGCGGTATTGCCAGCGATGCGCAACGCTTGCTTGATCGCGGCATCAAAACAGATATGACCACCTCCGTTGAAACAACCGCATTGATTGCGAGCCAACCAGCAAACTCTGGCAAGCCTCACAGCCTTGAAAGTGACAGAATACTAGCCGATGTAACGCGACAATTGCAGGACCTGAAGGAGCAACTATGGCAGGTGCACAGGCACGACCCAACCACCATCAACAGGAACAATCAGACCGGCCCTTCCTCCAACATGAAGCACAACTGGACGCAAAGAGGCACCCGGCAGTATGCAGAAACTATCTACAAGGCCGTACATGCTTCAAGGGTAACAGATGTCCCTATTTTCACCCTCCCCACGCTCAAGCTCACATAGCGACCACTGATACCACCTTACCCGAAGCAGTGATCCACACAACGCCGAGCACTTGACATGCTTCAACAAACTGGATTTTCAGCAGGGACTGAAGGTCGCCGATGCATTCTTCACTTTCCACACCACTTCCGCCATCCCTGTGAAAGTGATCGCCGACCACATGGGTATTGCGGCCAAACAAGCCTCTGATGATACACTTTCAAAAATCATCAGAGCCCTCCAGTCGACAGATCCAAGACCTGACACTACCATACTTGACCCCAACGATCATCGCACTGCACTTTTCCACAAACTCATGCATCAATTCTACTTGGAACCGGGAACGTCTGTACTAATGATCAGGGACGCTGCAAACACACCCAAGCTGGTGGTACCTTACAAGCTCCGCGCAAAATATCTCCACCAGGCTCATGACTGTGTAAACCACTCTGGAATCAGTCACATGCAGGAACACCTATCCAGTTACTGGTGGGAATATAAAAATCGCGACATCAAGGCTTACGTCCATTCATGCCAAACCTGCGCTAAACGTAAGGGGAACTACGGCAGGCACCCAAACTGGCCCATGGGCCATTGTAGGCGAGGCGGAAAACCATTCGAGGTTGTCTACATAGATTTTGTCTCAATGCCCCTCTCAAAGGGTAAACGGTACATCCTCACTATCTTAGACAGCTTCAGTTGACATCTCATGGCCATACCATGTGCTAGAGACCGTGCAATCGACGCAGACCGCAGGCTCTACCAGTTCTTCCTCCGTCATCGGGAGATTCCCTGCATCGTGTCCTCCGACCGAGGAACCCACTTCACCGGCGAGGTCTACAAGGATTTCTGCGACCTAACATCGATCACTCGGGAACTTCACTGTCCATGGCGACCACAAAGTTCAGGAAACATCGAACGGCAACACCGGACCCTCAAAAACGCCTTCTACATCATCTGCGAAGATAGAAACTGTGAATGGACGGACGTCCTTGAATCCGTAGTTTCCTCCATGAATGCCACGGCCAACACCGCCACCGGCGCATCTCCACATTACATAATCACTGGTCGTCAACCACATATCAGACTACCAAAGATACCACGTCAAGATATCAACAACAATCCTGGTGCTTACGGCATGCAGATAAACGCCCTGCTCCGACAGGTACACCAAAGAGTTGCCCTGGCAAACAACGAGGCTGACCACAGAATGGAAGCCAAACTGAACCATAAGATTTTCAAGGACCTGATACAGGTCAGCGACAAGGTGTTACTCTACCGACCTCAGTCCACAATAGCCCACTCATCACATCTGCCTATAAATATATTTACAGTCTTTCTTGTTCTTTCGATTCTGAATTTCATTGTTTGCAACCAAACGCAGTATTTCACCCACATTGTTTTCACATCACCCACGCATCTAAATACGGAATATAACATATACAACCAGAAAATAAAGAATGGCAAACAAAATAGGTTTCAACTTTTCATAGCAGCCAGGAAACCTTTAACCTTTTTCATTCAACTAGTGGAACATATTTTAAGACATTTTTTTATAAATTAATTTTGATTACTTTATCGATAATATACACAGAGAAGACTAAAATACAATGTGTGTTTATACATGTTAAAATATAATTAATGCTTGTCTGGTATTAAAAAAAAAAAAATGATAAAATTTTGTGCTTCTCAAAAAATGGAATGTCTCTGGGAAAATTAAATAAAACCAAAAAAAATAAAATAAATAAAAAAAAAATATAAATTCATTTTTCCATGATACAAGTTATAAAGAAAATGGAAAAGGTTTTTGGGCAAATGCATGATTTTATAACCTGTGGGTTACCCCACTTGACTGTGCCAATATGCCTGCTGGGGGTGGGGGGTGCTCTTTAAGCCTATAAATAGGCATTGATATTCTCACTCAGCCTATTCTTGGTCTTTTTAGCTCTGGCTTTCAGATGTAGTTGCATGTAGATCAGAACACTGCAGATGAGGCACATTTGCTTCTTTGGTCCTCCTTTGACTTTAGTACTCTCTATCACATACACATTCTTATTATAACTTGTTTTAATGTTTTTTCCTTTTGTTACAATTTTCAACCCTTCTAATTTCTTTTCTTGCACTGTCATTTATTTTATATATTTTTTTGTGTTTCATTTTTACCTGGACTCACATTGAATTTGTCAGTATTGTTTGCAAGGTAAAAAGTGTTGATTGCCACATACTATTGCCATATATGGTCTGGTGTCCTCACTGTTCATCTCAAGATTCTCGATAAAATCCAAAGACAGATATGCAATGGAATCGGTCCTGACTTGGGGTCTTGACTCCAGTCACTTTCTCACCAACGCAGTGTGGTTTCCCTCTGTCTTTTCTACAAATATTTTCATGGCAACTGCTCTGATGATCTATTTTCACTGGTGCCCAACTGCATGAATTTAAGTGTGCTACTAGGTTGGCATTTTGGTCTCACCCTTTTACTGTCAAAACAGATAAATGTAACTACCTCTTTTACTGCAACAGCTTCTCTTGCACTTCCTGATAGTAGAATTCCTTCTTCTTACTTGCTTCCCTGATAACTATAATCTTCCAAAATTTAAATGTAATGTCAATCGACATCTTCTGTTGCTTTAATCCCTGTTCTTCTTTTTATCCTCCTCCATTCTTTCATCAACCCACTCCCGTCTATACCCAGTCTTTTCCCTTACTTACACTCTCTGTAGCCCCTTGTGTACTAGTGGCACTCCCGCCTTGCTTGGGGTAGATTGTTTAAAGAAAATATATATATATGAGAGAGAGAGTTTGTAATACTAAAGAATATTCTGTTCTTGAATTTTTCAGATGCAACCCTTAAAAGAAAAGCTGAGCCATGAAATGAATCCAAATATGTGGGTGGTAGCTTGCCGATTTCCTTTTCCCAGCTGGGAGCCTGCTCTTACCATTGGCACTGGGATAGACACTGTGTGGGTGTACAAGTCACTTCCAGGAACCATGAACAATGACAACGTACAAAAAACAGACAAGTTTTTTCGGGATTGACGTATAAATTAATTTATGGTTTAAATAAAAAAAAAAAAAAAAAAAAAAATAAAACAAAAAAAATTGTGAAATTTTATTTTTGTTTTTTTACACTAAAATTCACCCAAAACAAGGTCTATGAGCCACCCAAGGCAAAAGATTATTAAAAGAAGTGAAGATTATGAGGATAAGGAGGATAGATAACATTTGATCCTTGACTTGAAGAGTTTATGGTTGAAGTATTCAGGGGAATGTATTTTGGAATACAAAGTGATCCATGTATTGATTGATAGATTTGTTTTATGGATTGTAGGATAATAATTCTTTTTTTTTCTTGTGAGAGAATATTGAATTAATAATTTTTGGGAAATACCAATGACTATTGCAGATACAGCCTTACCACTTAACCCATAGATGGGGAGAGAAGAGATGGATTCATAACTTTTTCAAGGGTATTTGCACCTAAGTAAATGTAACAAAATTGACTGAAATCTGAACTTAGAATATAACAAACTTGACTGGAACTTGAACACCCCAAGCTGTTAACCATTACACTACCTGCACATCTGTCTGTCACATAACTGAGAACAAATTATCATATAAAGAAAAACATGATTATGATATAAAGAAAACATGATATATAAAAAATAAAAAGATGATATAAAGAAAATATGAGATATAAAATATGATATAAAGAAAAACATGATTATGATATAAAGAAAAAAATATTGCATGACTGAATATTTAAAAAGAGAATGTGTACACATTTCCAGTTTCAACATAGAGTAAAAGTTAATAAAGCTATCCTTACCTTCATGAAGAGTTTTGATACAACCTCAAAAGTGAGTCTATGCTCAAATCACATGTTACTCATTCCTCATGGTAGCCTTCAATGAGTAATTGGTAATCTGATGCAGCTGGTTGCTTTCCCACTCATTTTGACAATATAATCATCCAATGAAGATAAATCAGGAGAGTGAGAAGACTACATGATGTGAGTGACATGATTGTAAAAAGTTTTGACCCACTATTCCTGGGTCACATGTCATGCTGGATTGACCTTTCTGGGAGATTTAAAACTGAAACATTTTGGACTGTCAGAATAATACTTTCTACTTTTTTGCAAGTGCACATTGCTTTAACAATATTCTTTGAGAATAACAATGATTTTTCCAGATACATGTCCTACTATTTAACCCATAGCTTGGGGGATGGGGTATATTTATTACCTTCCCAAGAACATTTTCACGTAAGTGAATGTAACAAATCTAATAGCGGTTCAGATTGAGGAATTAGAGAACTGAGTTAAAATTCTACTCGGATCCTTTACATTCACTTATGTGTTAATACTCTTGGGAAAAGGTATGGATCCTCTTCTCCTCCTTTCAGCTATGGGTAAATAGCAGGACTGACCAAGTTCTATAGCTTTGGATGGAAACTGGTCTACTGCAGAAAGAAATGGCAACCTACTGTGGAAAAAAAATCTGCTTCATCAGTCATGTATTGAAAGATATGTGATCGCCTAAGTGTGTATCACACACGGCACCTAACTGACTGAATGTAATGAACCTGACTGGAATTTGAACTAAAAAAAGTATTGGCACTGTTGCTATGGTAACAGACCTAAAGTATACAATTAAAGCTGCTTGGCACAGATTTAAGACCCAGAAACAGTCAACAAATGAGTGGCACAGAACTGGTTCAGATGTTTCAAGGAAGGTGACACCAAGAAAAAAAAAGGTCAGGTCTTGCCTGAAAATGAAGTGGACAGAGGTTCAACAATGTGGACGAGGTTGAAAACAGGTGCAGGGAGTTTTAAGTCACTAAACAAGCCAAATGATATAATTGTAGAATTGAGCCTCTGGCACAACAATGACAACTAACAATAGAATATGATAGGATATATGTCAATGAATAAATGCATTTCATGTGTAATTTGCTTGAACTATTAAAGCTTGAAATACAAAAAAGTTTTTTATTCAAATTGGCATAGTGCCAAAATGACCTTGGGCATAACCCAATATTTATGCTGATGACAAAAATTTTTACTCTCATCTTAATAGTAAGTCCAATAAAGTAAAACTGGCAGCTGATCTTGAAAATGGCTTCCAATCAGTTATTAACTGGGGCAAGAAATGGCTTATAAATTCCAACACCTCCTAAACAAAACTCTCTTTTCATCATCATGAAGAACTATTTTTGCTTACAACAGCATGGCTGAGGATAACTTCCAGGAGAGTAACTTATTGCGTCTTTTTTGGTCTGACATTTTCCACTGACAAGAAGTGGAATGATTATATTGAGTCGATTGATAGGTCTGCCATTGGAAATTTGGTTCACTCTGTCATGCTAGACAATGCTTCTCACCAGAGTCCTTCTTGCATGTTTAGAAATCTATCTGTCTATATATTGAATATTGCTGCCACATCTGGTCTGGTGTTCCTGTTATACATCTTTGACATAATCCAAAGATCTGTAATGTTATCTATCAGTCCTGAACTGGCATCTTGATTTCAGTCACTTTCCCACCACTGTGTTGCAGCTTCCCTGTGTCTTTTCTATATTTTCATGGCAACTGTTCTAATGAGCTTTCATCCCTGGTATCTTGACTGCATAAATTTAAGCTTACTACTGGATTAGCAATTAGGTCTCACCTGTAGAATCAAATATGATACCTCGCAAGAAAGTTCCAAACTAGCGTCCAGTTGGTAGACAAAAATGGGCTGTAACTTAATATAGACCTCCGTACTCAAGCATACAAAGCAGTCCAATGATGGATATTTATTGATCACAGTATCAACACCAAAATCAACAGCCAATCAGAACTTCTCTAAGCCAATCAGAAATTCTCTAATAGGTTGGCCCAAGTAGCATAATGGAACATTCCAGCCTGTTATATAAACCACTCACCAACTGGCCCAAACCGTTCATGACTGTCAAACTCTCTGCCTTGGCGATGAGGAACCCGGACGAAGCTTTGCCAAAAGGCAAAGTTTCGTCTGGGGAGATAGACAGGCCCTGAACCTGTTTATACAAGTTCAAAGGGAATATTTTTGGCCAAGCCTATGGGCTCGGAATACCCACAATAAACCGGCCTTGTGCCAAATACACCCTCATCTGCTGTTAAATATAACATTTGTCAGCGGCCTCTCTTAATTATTTTGAGGGTTTAACAAGTCCAACTAACATCAGTTATCCTTATTTTGATATTTTAGTTTGTTTTGGGTTCATCCCCTCCCAGGTCATTTTATATCAGATTTTTAAATATAGAATTTTATGCTCATTAAATTTTTATGTCATGGTGTGTTTTTTGTAGGTTCCCTGAGAGTATGCCGTATTATGGATTTTGATGATGGACGAGTTCTTGTGGTGAATGTGCAAATTGTAACAAGTGAATGGGTCATGAATCGGATTAGCTAGGTATAAGATAGTAAGTGACGACCAGTCTCAGCCCTTTCCCTCCAATTTTTGACCTTTTGCCAAAATTGTATTTTATACAAAAAATCTTGAGTTGTCCATGGTAACTGCTCTGATAAGCCACTTTCGCTGGTTCCCAGACTTCATGAATTTAAGCGTTCAACAAGGCTGGCATCTCGCTCTCACCTTTTCACTGTCGAAACTGTTAAATGTAGCCATCTCTTCTACTCCAATAGCTTCCTGTCTTGCACTTCTCGCCTGTGGAACTCCCTCCCCATTTCTTGTTTTCCTGATAGCTATAATCTCCAACTATTCAAATGTAATGTCAATCGACATCTCCAGATGCCCTGATCTAACCCCTAGCCTTCTCTTCAATCACTCCTCTTTGCTCTTGCTCCAACTCTCTGTAATCCCTTGCATGCTAGTGGCTTCCCGCCTTGCTTGGGGTTGAATGCTTAAAAAACTCAACTTTCAATAGCACTGTTCTGCTTGTCCAACTAAATCCTACATCACTGTGTTACTGTTGAAATAGCTAAGATATAACTGTAAATTCTATTCTAATAGTTTCTTTTCTCATGCATCTACCTACATGATGTTTTTTATCTCCCAATCACTAATCTACATGAAAAATTTTCAGAGCATTATTTTCTTGTGTCCCCTTTGTTTTTCTGATCAACATAAACAAACCTAGTCTGATGAAGTCCTGAATAATGAAATGCATCACATGAACTTTTTCCACTTTGTCATATATCTTTCCCCCAATATTAAGAGAAGCAAAACATTTTAAACTTGCACTTGCTTTGTGCTGACACCCAGTAATGGGAAAAAACTTTGGCCATAAAAAAATAATGATAAAAACTAGAGACTGAATCCCAAAGCAAGTTCATTGTTAAATCTCACTGTCTGGTAAGTATCAGCCCCTGCACTTCTCTTGAACACAATTGGATGAGCAGGAAGGGAGGACATGCTGCATGGTTACATTTTCCATGCCAATATCCATTACACTATCTGCATATTCACTGTCAGTAATGCACACCTGAATTGCTGATTACAATCTCTTCCTGGCTGACTTTTTTTTAATGGATTTCAGTAGTAAAATCATTAATACTGCATTCACATCATAAATTTAATAACTCTATTCTGTCAGTAACACTTGCATTAATTTCTGATAACACATTTCTTTTTGATTTTCAATCCATTTCCATTGCAAAATCATACAAAGAAGAAACCATCCCATAATATATTTAACTCTAGACTTCTATGTAGACAAGATGTATTTCTTTTTAATCTTAATTTTGTATAACTTGTCAAACATCAACAATAGCTACCTACCTTTTTATCCATAGATGAGAACAGTCATTATAAATACCATAATCTTTTTTTACAATGAGATCATAGAGTCAATATGAACTTCATAATCTTTTCCATGGATGTATAGTAAATACTTCACCAGGGCTAGATAGGGTTTTAAATTCAGAGTTGTTATTCTCCTAGATTGGTTGCCAACCACAGCTAAACTGATTTTTTTTTTAACATCTAAATCAACCCTACAGAACAATAGCCTAGTGGATTAAAGTATTAGCTTGTGACTTTGGTGACATAGTAATTTTGAGTTCAATCCCTGGGCAAGGCAGCATGTATTTGAACTCAGTGGAAACAAGCAAGCAATAACTAAGCATTACTAATAATAAGCTGGCATCTTGTCTGCAGTTGTTCTCTCACAGACGTGCCAACGCCTCCCTCTGTCTTTTTTACAAATACTTTCACGGTAACTGCTCCGATGAGCTGCTTTTGCTGGTTCCCAGACTTCATGAATTTAAGCGCTCAACTAGGCTGGCATCTCTCACCTTTTCACTGTCCAAACTGTTAAATGTAGCTGTCTCTTCTACACCAATAGCTTCATGTCTCGCACTTCTCGCCTGTGGAACTCCCTCCCCTTTTCCCTGATAGCTATAATATCCAACTATTCAAATGTAATGTCAATTGACATCTCCAGATGCCTTGATCTATTCTCTATCCTTCTCTTCATCCTTTCCATTATCACTCCTCTTTGCTCTCACTCCAACTCTGTAACCCCTTACATGTTAATGGATTCCCACCTTGCTTGGGGTGAAACGCTTAACAAAAAAAAAAAATGCCTAGACATGGGCAGTGGAATGAGAAATCTAATCTCATAGATTAATGGGTTCAATTCAGAATATATATCTGATGAAGGCCAGAGGGTACACCAGTCGAAATGCTGTGATAACAACAAAGATGAAGACAATAGTCTGAATATAAATAGTGTAAATAATGACATATCATCCCAGAAATTCTGACAGAAACCCTCCATAGGTTATTTAAAACTGAAATATATTTTGAATTGTCAGAATAATTTGTTTTTTTTTTTTTTGCAAATAAATATTGCACAAACAATTTTTTTCTTCTGAGAATAATAATTTTCATGATAGAAGTCCTATTAATTATCCCATAGCTGGAGGGAGGAAATGGATTCATATCTTTCCCAAGGGTATTTTGCATGTAAGTGAATGTAATGAACCCAACTGTAATCCAAACTCAGCTCTTCAAGTGCTCATTCCAAGCCCCAATCCATTACATCAATGCACAGCTACAGAGATCAGTCTACCCTACTATTTAACCCATAGTCGAGATGAGATGAATTTATAGCTTTCCCATTTCACTATCTTATTATTTGGTCGAGCTATCATGGACATTCACAAATCTATCATATCAACCATCACGGTCCTGCATCAAAGTCAGAAGCTCATTAGGTTGGCATTTTGTGTCATAACATAGTTGGTCAATGTAAATAGTTGCTGGTAACCAACCAGTCTTGCTCTATGTCTAGGTGTCCAGAGCAGTAGATCACTCGCAAATTCCTGTTTTGATCACCAGCAGTCTCCTGCAAAGCAAATTCTGCATTCATGTAAGATTGTAGAAATACCAGGAATGGGTCTATAGAACTGTGATTTATTCGGCTGTTGTCTCCGGAAGATATTAAATATAGCTGTCAGCATCCGAGTGATGTATTTCTATCAATGCCTCTCATCTCTTGTCAGACGAGTCCCAAACCATAAATACCTAATTATTGTTGGGAATATAAATCCTCAGGTTGGTGTCAAAGACGTACATATTTTGCATATTAGATGTCTTCTGACAGAGATGGGATCTTCCTCAGAGACTTTATACTGGAAATTATTCATTTATGCCACACCACTAAATTTCAAAATAAGAGCTCTAAAGAATTGACATTATATTATTATTTGGTTGCGCTAGCTCAGATATTCACGAGTCTAGTATATCAACCATCATGGTCATGCATCAAGGTCAGGTCATTAGGGAGGTAGTCTGTGTCATAATATAGCTGGTCAATGTAAATGGTTACTGGTAACCAACCAGTCTTGCTCTATGTCTAGATGTCCAGAGCAGTAGATCACTCGCAAATTCCTGTTTTGCTCACCAGCAGTCTCCTGCAAAGCAAATTCTGCATTAATGTAAGATTGTAGAAATACCAAGAATGGGTCCATAGAGCTGTGATTCAGTTGGATGTTGTCTCCAAAAGATGTTAAGTATTGCTCTCAGCATTTGAATATAGGTTCCATCAAGCTTAGTCTCTAGGATTTTACTTAATGTTCAAGCAGTGGCATGAAAGAATATTCATTTGAGGTTGTCTGGTAGATTAGAATTCCAGATTACATCCATTTTATTCAAGATAGCCCAGGTCTTTATCTATGTGAACTTTCACATCCTTTTCAGTAGAATTTATTTTGCTTTTTAGGTATATAAAAGATTTGACAGATTTTATCAATTGACCTGAGAATGTTTGTATTGTTGAAGCTTATGAATTCAGTTTTAGAGACACTGAAATAGTCCATCATCATTGGTAGTATTTTCTAAATGATATAGGAGAACTGTGGCATTGGTAATGTTTTTTTTTTTTGTTTACAGTCAGTTTCACCCTGTACAAGCTGCAGGGGACACACGAGATAGACGGTTACAATAAAAGGCTGTTTATGCAGATAGGTGGGGAAGATAAAGGCTAACCAGTGACTTGAACAGGTTAAGAGTGTAGTGATCAGAGAAACATCCTCTTGGGTGTCAGTTCCACAGAGCAGTTGTCCGAGTGGAACTTACTTCTTACCAATGGAATACGGATGGAATGTGGGTGGTATGGCGAGTCTTTGCAGTGATAGCTAGGTCATCTGCATATGAGTATCACAAATTCCAGAGACTTATTCTACATTATCTACATACCCTTAAATATATTTATAAGGATTTGCACAAGAACAAGAAGAGAAAACAAAGGATAGGGATGATGATGTTTAAGACAGAAAAATATTTTTAACTCTTATAAGCAAAAAAAAAAAATAAATAAATAAATAAATAAATAAAATTAAAAAAAAAAAAAAAAAAATAAAAATAAAAAAAAAATAAGGAGGTTATTTTGTTTATTGAGTTCTATTATTTTGTAAGATGTTCAGAAAACCAACTTTTTCAGCTGCCAGCAATTATCAAATTCCATTTAAAATGTCACAGTATGACTGCTTCAGGTGTTTCCAAGTAAACTGCTCCAAATCAACCTGAAAATTAAAATTTAAAAATAATTATTAAAATCATATTTTAAAATTTTACCTGAAAATTAAAATTTAAAAATAATTATTAAAATCATATTTTAAAATTTTACCTGAAAATTAAAATTTAAAAATAATTATTAAAATCATTTTAAAATTTTATCTTAAAAAATATTCTAATTTAACTAAAGTTAACAACCAGGTAAGACATAATTGTTCAAGTTCAAAGAAGCAAGCAAATGATTTTTTTAATCTTATTTATATATTAAAAGAATTCCCAGTGTCTCTTGTTTATGCACATGTGTAGTCACATCAACATAAACAAATGTAGTCTGATGAAGTCCTAAAAGACGAAATGTGTCATATGAAAACTTTTTCCACTTTGTCATGTTTTTCTTCCAATATCAAGAGAAGGAAAACATTTTAAACTTACCCTGCCTTGTGCTCACATCCAATAACAGGAAAAACTTTGGGTGTAAACAACAATGATAACAATTGGACAAAGAATCCCAAAGCAAGTTCAATGTTAAATCCAACTTTATCTGACAAATCTTGCTATGACAATAGTCACAGGCAGTACTGGCTCCCTTTCTTCCTTTAGACAGCATTGAGGGAGTGAAAAGGGAGAACATGCTGCACGGGCAACTGCTGATTTCTCAAAGGAAAAATAAAAACTGCCCAAGCATGCACCCAGGAAAATAAAATTCAGTATCATCTCACCTGTGCACGGTTGGTAAAACAAACACTGCCTTATTGTAACAGGGCAATGGAGCTGACCAAGTTATAAAGTATTGTTTTGGTGACTTGAAGTATTGAAAGACTAATTCTGAACAAAGGATTAGAGATATTAAATGGAGAAAAATATGGGAGAGTGGTTCATCAGGATGAAACTTGATAAAGAAAAAAAAATTGATTTTTTATTAATTTGATCCAATAAAATACTTATAAGGAAGGCAACAGGAAGATTTGAACCTAAGTAAGATTCAGTATAAGTGAAATTCAATTAAAATAAAACTCTTGGAGCAGATCTGGGGTTCTCTCAAAGCAGACAGATACTACAAACTTCAAGCTTAAATTATATCCAATGACTTGGTATATTATAAATATAATATGTATGTTGCCACTTCTTGCTGGTATTCATGTCACAATGTACTAAGATATATTCTAAATGTCAAAATCCTGAAATTTGAAATCATGAATTTATAAAACCCCAAAAGATCAGAATCCTGAGAAAAAAAAAAATTAAAAAACCAGAAAATGTCATAGGCGATGGGAAAATTTAGCAGGCAATGCCCATGTCGGTGTTTATCACATTATTAGAGAGGCTAAAAAGAGCAGCAGCATGTAGAAAACAAAGTAATTGTATTCTCCAAGGAGAGTCTTGTCCAAAAAGAATGTTTGTTTTATCATGATGAAAGGCTTAAAAATAAAGTTAATGATCGTGAAAACTGATCAGATCTTATGGACAATCTTAGAACTCTTGCTCATAATGTTTCATTATAAATTATTCATATATTCTGGTTTTAAAATTTTTTTTAAAATTTTGTATGTTTAAACACTATTTAAACACTATTTTATAAATGTTTAGAAATAAAAGGTATTTCTCAATTTTTTTTTCTTTTTCAATTTCTCCCAAAGACTATTTTTGAGAATTATGATTTCTCAGGATTTTAAATTTCGCGATTTTCATCTTTCAGGAATTTTAATTTCGCGATTTTCATCTTTCAGGAATTTTAATTTCGCGATTTTCATCTTTCAGGAATTTTAATTTCGCGATTTTCATCTTTCAGGAATTTTAATTTCGCGATTTTCATCTTTCAGGAATTTTTATTTTCATTTTCATCTTTCAGGAATTTTAATTTCCTGATTTTCATCTTTCAGGAATTTTAATTTCGCGATTTTGACCCAAACCATTCTAAATATATTCACACTGAAAGGAGTGAAACTAAGCACTTACCTGAGGGTGATGATTTCGAGGAAGAAATGGACGTTTACAAAATTCCTTTAGTCTCTTGTACAACTGGTTTGAGGTGTTATACAAATAACATCCTAAAATTGGAATAGAAAAAAAAAAAGAAAAAAAGATTCATACTGTTCCATTGCTGGCAACAAGATTTTTATTAAATTCTTAGTCTTAGATAATTTTTTTTTTAATTATTTCACCCCAAGCAAAGCAATAAACTACTAAGATGCAAGGAGTTACTGAATGTGAAAGAATATAAGGAAAAATGTAGAGAGAAAAGAAATTAAGAAGACAGAAAATAACGATTAACATTTCATTTAAATTTGTGAAGATCAAAGGTGACTGGAAAGCAAAAAGCCAGAAAAGAATTCCATGAGCAAAAAGTCCAAGAGAAGAAACTGTTAGCATAGAACTTACAGCTACGTCTAGCAATTTCAAATGTAAAATGATGAGACCTTGCTGCCAATAAAGTCTAGGTACCAAAGAGTACAACTGAAAAAGTAAACAAGGGATAAATCTAAATTCCTGTTCAAAAGACTGGGGAGGAGTGTGAACAGGACGATAGGCAAACCTATCTACTCCCATTGAGAAAAAAAAACAAAACAAATAAATATATAGTAAATAAAATTTTATATGGAGATATTAGAGGTATAGAGTTGAAGTAGACTTTAGATAGAACCAGAAACCCAATTCTAAAGAGGAAACAATGGATAAACTTCTATTCCTGCCCAAAAGGCCAGTGAATATGAACTTGATGATAGGCAAACCAATCTTCTTAAGATGAAGATATATTGACTATTTAAGACATAAGTATGAAGAAAAGCCAAACAGATTGCTAAAATGTTTATTGCACATCCAATACAGAATCAATAATTAAAAATCTTGAATCAAAGAAGTGTCGGAACAAGAAACGTGATAGTCATGCTCAGAATGTTATCAGAAAGAGCAATACAAATGCAGAAGAATGTGTACCTGTGTTTTATAGTCTATGCAAAGGTGTTCAACAAAGTACACCACAAATATCTGTTGGAGCTTCTCAGCAACCTTGACATATTCAGGAAAGACATTAGAATAATCAAAAACCTCTATTGGTAAACAAACTGCTTGCATAAAGATAAAAAAAATGAGTTCAGCAGATACACAAAAATAAAAAGGGGCGTAAGGCAAGGATGTGTCTTCTCACCAGACCTAGTCAACCTATACAGCAAGGCAATTGTGAGAGAACTGGAAAGACTACCAGGATTCATCATTGGCAGCCAAAATATTTAACAGTATAAGATATGCAGATGACACTGTGCTGATAGCAGACATGAAAAGGAAACTACAAAACCTCCTACAGGTAGCAAAAGAAAGTGAGAAGAAATAACTAAGCATAAACTACAAGAATGCATGGTCATCAACAAAAAGATAAGCCTGAAATGCAATTTACAGAATGGGGACACTAAAATCAAGCAGGTGCAGAAATTTAAATATCTGGAAAGTGTTCTGAGAGAGGACGGAACGTGTAACGCTGAGATCTGAAGACATATTGGGATGGCCAAAGATGCATTCCAAAAGATAGGCAGAGCATTACGAGACAGGAGAGATTTGTTGGTAACAAAGAAAAGAGTACTGAACTGCTACATATGTGTCCTTCAGTATCTGTCTATACTTCTGAGATGAGGTATTATGTACACTATTTACATTATTCAGGCTATTATCCTCATCTTTGTTGTCATATTTATTTTTAAGGAAAACTGGAATTGAACCGGCCTTCTTCAGAAATTTGAAAATCGAACTGAATCCTTATATTTTCAGGAGGGAGACTGTTCTAGTTCAAACATGCCATGTCTAATGGAGAAAGGTTATCTCTGATTAATTCCCTCTATTACACCTAGTTAAGGCAGGAGAACTGGAGAGGGAATTAACAGGAGATAACTGATAACTGACATCCATTAGACATGGCAGTAACTAGAACAGTCTTCCCCAGTGAGCAAAATAAAGGGTTCAGTTTACATTCTGACCACCTGAAGAAGGCTGGAGTTTTACATCATGAATTTTTTTAAATGTTGTGATAAATATGGACAACAAAGATGAGGACAATAGTCCGAATAATGTAAATAGTGATATCTGTCCTCCATTATGGCAGGGAATGTTGGACGGTCTCCTCAAAGATGAAGAGACTCTAGGCAACAGAGGTGTGGTTCTACAGAAGTATGTTAAGGATACCATGGATCAAACATGTGAGCAATGACAAGGTTTTGGAGAGAATGCAAATAAAAACGAAACTCATACTTAGCATCAGGAAGAGACAGCTGAAATTTCTGGAACACATAATGAGAAAGGAGGGCTTGGAAAATCTGATACTCACAGGGTGGATCAAGGGAAAAGGGAAAGCAACATATGACATACTTAATGAGATTAAACAAGTGGATGACAAAACAGGGTCTGGGAGAAATGACAAAAAGTCAAAGCTTATTGAGGGCTATAAGAGACAGGAGAAAATGGAGAGTCATGATCCCCTATGTCCTGAAGGGACACAGCACACAAGCAGGAGAACCCAGTCATGGCTGTCAGACAATTTCTGTGACCACATCATCCCTTACACCCGGCCACCTAATTCTCCAGACAACAACCTCCTTGATTATTATGTGTGGGGCACAATTGAGTGAGAGACCAGCAAAACTCCTTGTAGTACCAAAGATGAACTGAAGGCAAGGATTATGGCAGCATTCACTAACTTAAACAAGGAGACTCTCCAGAAGAGATGCAGGAGATTCTGAAGTCGTCTGGAGGCCATGGTTGAAGCCAATAAATTTACTCTTTAGTATTTCAAGATATTTTTGTGTAATTTTGGTAAATATATCTGTTTAAATGAGATGTCAGTGTTATTTCCATTTTTGTGTAATTTAGATGACAATTTATCCATCGCACCCTGTATGTAAAGATGAAAGATCAAAAATGATTTTTCAAACCTGGGAAGATTTCTGGATAAACAAGACGGTTTGGGCACAAAGGGTAACATCCAAAATAAATATATATTCCAATAAAAAAAAAACAAAAAAAACACAGATTTAATGATATTTTGTTTCATGTTAATTGTTCTGATAAGCCTTTATTACATCCAAAAAGCTGATTATGAACAAAGAACAGTGTCATATTTTATACTTCATTATTTTCTGACCAATTCAAACTAGAGGTTGAGTATCCTTTATCCAAAATTCCAAAATTTGAAAGCTTTTCAGGTACTGTCATGACTTGCCTCAAATGGAAAATTTCAGAAAAAACTGGGAGGTAATTTGCCCTGGGTGGGGGTTCCCCAGCTCAGCTAATGTAGCATACATGGTGCCAATTTTTTGTTAGCAATCATCACAGCAACACCTTCATTTGTGGATTATTTATTGGGTATTTTTCTCAGTAAAGATATTATTCAAAACATCAAAAAGTCCTGCAGTTATATATTTTTTGTAAGTATAGATCATGTTTTTTTTTGTACACATAGAGAAAGTACAAGACATTATTCCACATGAAATCTGAAATTCATCACTTAAAAATCTGTGTAAGCATTACATGATTACATCTTTTATCTATATCTGTATTAACAAAATTTATTAAATTTTATATAAAAAACTTCAAAGCATATAGATATATTTATATAAAAATACCATCATATTATATGTCTAAATTGTGTTATGAAATGTAAAGGAGAAAACATTTATTGAATGGGTTGATTTTTTCTGCCCCATTTTATATGTTATACACAAAATAAATAGCCTGTATTTCCAAATCTGAAAAAAAATCTGGAAACTGAAGCACTTTTGGTCCCAAGAATTTCAGATAAAGGATTCTCAACTTGTATTGCTGGGTTATTTGCCCCTTATTTTCTTGTGATTTTTTAAGCATAGCTTAGATGTGGCACAAGGCCCAAAGTATGTGGTATTCAGTGAGGATCAAACTCACTATTCAGTCGTAATTGATCTGGCTAACCCCAGATGTAAAAAAATAAAAAAGATAATCTTCAAGTCACCTACTGAAAATACTTATTCATTTTTATTTGTCTACACTAGTTATTATTATTATTATTGATGACTAGAAGGAGAGCCTGGCATTGCCTGGGGGATGTAACATTAATGAGAAAATAAAGTAAAATAAACCATCATAAAGACTGAAAAATAAAATTGACAAAGATTATAAAAAAGAAATTGACGGACAATACATATCTTAATTTAGTTTGTTTTGTTGTTTTTTTTATTAATTTTTCAAATTGAAACTCAAACAAAACATTGTTTTCAATTTTTTATCTTAATTATCTATTGATTTGAATAAATTTTATTATAAACAATTGTCTTGTAATAATGGAATTTAAAGCATTCCAAATGTAAAATAAAAAAAAAGTGTGCAAGACAATAAGAAAATACTATATAAAAAAAAAAAAAAAAAAAAAGTGAATTTTTGTTGAAATTTAATGAAAAATGTTCAAAATTAAGATCCCATATATAAATGAACACACACACAAACAAACAACCTGGGTTTTATAATAAGTATAACTCGATAAGTTGTCCCCTTCCATTCTTTTGACAGAACCAAAAAAATAATTTTATGCAGTTTTTTGAAGTTTTTGTTGAACTTTCTGTTGAAAAATGTATCAAACCGATCCAATATATAAACAAATAAATAAACACACACACACACAAAAATATATATATTTTTATAATAAGTAGGATAATATAAAATTTAATGTTTGCTATCAAAATGATGTTGTCCATTCATATTAATTCAAGATCCTTACTTAGATATTCTGTATTGAATATGTAGCAAACTTTTTGCAATCAATTTGGTTGTATTTGTTTCTTGAAAAGTGATAGCATGCCACATCTTGTCTAGTGTTTCTGCTATGTATTTGGAGATTCTTTATAAAACCCAAGAATCTGCAACATTATTCATCCTACATAACAATAAAAATATTTGAAATTAATAATAATTTATTATTATTATAATTTTGGTTGTTCCAAAGTCATCATTTACATTAAAAGCCATACAGAATATGTCAAAAATTGAACGTCTATGTATCATATATAGTACACAGGAAACCTGATTTTAAAAGAGTGATAAGAATAGAGTCTACTATTGTGCAGGATGTCAGAGGAAATTAATTTAATATTTAATATCATTAGAAACAGGACAAAAAAATGATGCCTTTAATACCTCAAATGAAAGACATTTATTTTTTTTTTTATTGAAATGATTATAATCATTTTGCATCACAGCATAAATAAATAAAAAATGATTTATACATTTTGTGCAAAAATTGAAATATATATTTTTTTTTTATTTTTTGCAAACAATATATAGAAATTAGCACATTCAATTTGCCATTAAAAATTAAATTTTTATTTTTATTAATAGTTATAAATCTGAAAACAAGCATGAATGTTTGAATAGTACACATGAAAATGCCCTGGACAGGCAAAGGGTTAACAACATTAGATATCACATGATGTTAATAGCAGACACAGAAAGGAAACTAAAAGAATTTCTATAGAAGATAGTGAAGGAAAGTGATAAGACTAAACATCAATTGCTAAAAGACAGAATGTATGGTTGTCAGCAAAAGAAACAGCCTAAAATGCAAATTACAAATTGGAAATACAATACAGTTTTATCCCAGAGAATTTCAAGAAATAAAAGAAAAGTGAAGATTTTTTTTTCCATATATATTCATAATTATATTAGAAAAAAAACACACATACTGTGGATAAACAACATCTGCTGCTTTCAAAATATCATAATATTTGGCTTTACTTTCTACATAGCCCCAATTTTTTATGTGGGAAAGAAGGTTTGTCTGGGATTCAGCAAACACACCTGGAAGAAGGAAACAAAAATTATTCACTATCCCATTTCATATAATATGTATTTGCTTAAATTATTTGATAAAAATGTTTAATTATTAATTCAGCTTCATTTTTGAATTTACTTGTAGCTAAGATTTATCACAACCTTTCATATGTTGAACATAAAGTTAAACTCACAAGTCATTTTGAAATTAAACTGATCTAACTTTATTTTTTACACCAAGTTGTTCATTTCCAAGCTGGCCATGTTTAAACAAAAAACATGGCAGAAATACCTCCCACATAATGTTAAGATACTAGCCAGATGACAACACTATTAAGAACATGCTGAAATATTTCACTATAACCACACAGGTAACAGTTTAAAATATGGGAATATTAACATTTCAATACATCTTTTCTATAGGAAATGTCTTACCATTATTTGGGCAATATGTTTTTAAAGGTATTTTGATAAAACACCTTGTTTATCTTACTTATTTTTTCATTAAGAAAAAAAGGAAACAATTTTGTAATTAGTATTTGATAAACATAGGGTGATTTTCTATAAAATTCAAGGTCTTTTAAGGAAATAAGAAATTTTTCAAGTTGGAGCAGCTTAATGGTATTGTGTTAGGAAAAATTGTGCTACATTGAACCATTTTTTTTTGACATGATTAACTAAACCCACTTTTTGATTTTCTGCTGCTAGGAAAATAGGATCAAATTAACTATAAGTTCTATGCTAACAGTTTTATGAAAAAATGTCTTGTTTTATGAAGTTTATTTATTTGAGAAGAATCATTTTTTGATTCAACAAAAATTTAAATACAATTAAAAAATCTTTATTCAAAAATAAATGATTTAAAAAAAAAAGTTTTGCTTTTATTTGTTTTTCCTTTTCCATTATTCTAGAAACATTGAATTTAAACCCTTGCATCTCAGTGGCTGAGTTGCCTGCTGTGGGGGTGAAATGATTAAAAAAAACAAATAGAAATAGTGAAATGGATTTCATTATGGCATATTATTAAGAAATTAGTAAAAAAAACGTTGAGACATTTGGACTTTTATTTGAATTTATGAATTGTCTTGAATCAACATCTAGTTTACTTTCTTTTTATGTGCCATGTCCTTTCAGGACGTAGGCGATCATGGCTCTCCACCCCTTCTATTCCTTGCAGCTCTCAACAAGTTCCTTCCCTCTGCTTCCTCCCCAGACCACGTTCTGTCACCCACTTGCTTGAGCCCGCCAGGGATGTCATGCATTGTTTTCCCTTGTCTCTCTTTCCCTCTATTCGACCCGTGAGTATCAGATTCTCCAGGCCCTCCTTCCTCATTATGTGTCCCAGAAACTTCAGCTGCCTCTTCCTGATGTTAAGTATAAGCCTCCTCCTTGTTTCCATCCTCTCTAAGACCTCATCGTTGCTCACACACTTAGTCCATGATATCCTTAGCATCCTTCTGTAGAACCACATCTCTGTCGCCTTGAGTCTCTTCATCTTTGAGGAAATCGTCCAACATTCACTGCCATAAAGAAGGACAGATGTCACGTAACAGCTCAGTATTCTTTTCTTTGTTACCAAAAGAAATCCTCCTGTCTCGCAATACTCTGCCCAGCTTTTTGGAATGTGTCCTTGGCCATCCCAATACGTCTACGGATCTCAGTGTCACAATTTACCATCCTCTGTCAAAACACTTCCCAGATATTTAAACTTAAAACGTCTGCTTGATTCTAGTGTTCCTGACCTGCAAATCGCATTTTGGGCTCATCCTTTTACTGATGATGCATTCTGCATTCTTGTAAGTTTATACTTAGTCCTTTCTTCTCACTCTCCATTTTACCTGTGTAGGAGATTTTGTAATTTCTTTTTCTTGTCTGCTATCAGTACTGTGTCATCTGTGTATCTTATGTGGTTAAAATTGTGGCCACCAATGCTAAATCCAGGTAGGGTTTCCCATTCTCTCAGAAACTGCCTTGTCTTTTGTAGGTTGAACAGGTTGGATGAGAAGACACATCCTTGCCTTTCTATTTTTGAATATTCACTGAACTATCGTTCCCTATACGCATGCATGCTGTTTGCTGCCAGTTTAGGTTCTTGATTATTCTAACATCTTTCCTGAATATATCAAGGTTATTGAGCAGTTCCAGCAGATCCTTGTGGTGTACTTTATCGAAGGCCTTTGCGTAGTCTATGAAACATAAGTACATGTCCGCAGAGTTAAAAAAACACCCCAAAAAACTAATTTCTAGCAAAATATTGTTAGACACTCCAAGGTGATCATGGTTTTCAAAACTGACCCCTTGATAAAGAAAAAACAAACCCCAGACCACACCACCATTCAAAACTATAAATGAGTAAAACATTCCATACCAGAGTTATTCCAAAACAAGGCTTGAGGATGAAACTGCCACCCAGTGGTTAAGGTTTAATATTGGAATTAAATACTGCTGACCAGTTTCGAAACATAGTAATTTCTGTGTCACGATACAATCATATTTATAAAAAAAAATAATTATAATCTAGGCTCTACTTGCATAGCGAACACTGTTTTTTTAAAAATAAAAACAAAAATACTAAAGAACTTCAGATCATCAATCTAACAGTTCTTTCCTATTATATCAATATATATGCACACACACACTTATATATATAAACCTATAAATCAAGTAAAATTATTGTTTAGCTTGCCAAAAAATCTGGAGACAAATTTATTAACTTTGTATGGAACTAAATATACAAAAAAAAAAAAAAAAATTAATCCCACCAGTGGAAAATAAATTTTATTTTGAGCAAAATGTTTTTTTAACAAACTTACTTGGAACATCTGTAAATGTTTGACCAATGACAGAAACAAAAAATTCCAGACCATCTTCATGCAGCTTGAGTAAAACCTCAAACAATGTATCAGGATCTTTATCATGTTCCCTGAAAAAAATGGAAGAATAAAACACAATGATCAGGAATTCACCTCTTGGAATGTCCAAGAAACACAAGATGATAGGATCAACTCTAAAAGAAATTCCTAATTTTATGGTATATTTGTTATCTTTACTGGACTCAAATTTGAATCTTTGTTTCCTGAGAAAAATAGTTTAGGATACTTTTGTGGAAGACTGATATGAACGCCTGGGCACCTTTAGTCCAAATAAAATTGTTTTTACAGTTCATGACAGATCGAAAGTGTCATTTTGTTGGAAAATGATTTTAGTATCAAAAATGGTATAAATTTGAATATCTGGGCACCTTTAGCCCAAATAACAGAATTGTTTTTGCTGTTTGGGATAGATCAAAAGTGTCCTTTTGTTGGAAAATGATTTTAGTGCTAAAAATGGTATAAATAGATCAAATTAAAATTTAATTTCAAATTGCCACTTGGAGCAAACACAATGTGATATCTTTGGATTTGCTGTGAGCTAACCTCAATGAAGTCTAAAATCTCAATTTTCAGACACTTTGTTAACAGTCATCTTAGAGGCTAAATCCAAGCTTACCGGAATCTTTGTAGTTTGATATACATTTTTTATTTGGACATTTTTTTTTCCAATTTTCTAAATAACTATACCTCAAATTATAAAAAGATTCCATCAACGCAAACATTGTCGAATCTAAAAGTCTGTGAGTTCTGTAAACAAATAACACAACCCTTGCCGACCAGCTATTGATTGACCCCACATTGCACTGCACTCTCATTTATGTCAGCATACACTGATAGCTGGGAAAGAGCCTGCTGCACACTCACAAAATAATGGAGATGAAAAACAAATGCAAACCCTCAGAGTCTGTCTATATTTCTGAGATGAGGTATTATGTACATTATTCGGACTATTGTCCTCATCTTTGTCGCCATATTTATCACAATTTTAGAATGCTTTTTATGAACTCCGGCCTTCTTCAGGTGGTTTTTTTTGGGTCCTGTCACTGGATCTAACCAATGCCTATATCCACTGTGCCATGTGTCCTTGAGTGTGAGTTCAATACCCGGTTAAGGCAGTGGAGAACTTTCAGAGGGAAATTAGCAGGATATCCATCAAACATGGCATTATTTTACCCCAGTGAGCAAAATAAAGGGTTCAGTTTGAAATTCCAACCACCTGAAGAAGGCCAGAGTGTACAACGGCCGAAACATTGTGATAAATATGGTGACAAAGATGAGGACAATAGTCCAAATAATGTAAAATGCAAACCCTATTTATTTCCAATCTTATATTTAAACATTTTATTCAGGGTTTTGACTGGGTGGATGGACAGGTGACACTTGGGAGAAATTCTGTTTTGTCAGTTTTATAGATTAGCTCTTCCCCCTACCAACTACTCACTCATCATTCATCCTGGCATATCACTGGCAGTACAAACAGGTAGCATTGGAACCATGTGACTGACGAGTCCATCTTTCACCAAGAGTGGACCAGAACTGACTCGTCTGATTCCAAGCACGTCTGTTTATAGATACCAACACCTCAAAATAATCAATGTCTGGTTTGTTGATACTTAGTTTCCAAAAAGCTTTTATCCTCTCCTTTAGTTTCTTGCTCCTCTTCAGTTAAAACACGTGCCTCTTAGAAAACCAGACTTCAAATAAGAACCACCTGCTGGCTATAATATAGAAACACTAGAAACTGAGATAAAATCTCCTCTATGCTGATGCCCATAGTTTCACACTTGGTTCACAAGCATTTCAACATTCCAATCAATGTTCACCAACAAAAAAACAAATTTACAAGTATTTTTATAATCTGTTAAACACCACCTAAAGAAATCATTCTTTCAATTTTCTTAAGAAATTGTCTATATGTTATTTTTAATAGTTACTATTTGTATAATATTATTTCCACAAAGAACCATTATTTTTACTGAATCCTTGTATAAATAAAAAAACCGTATAGAAGCAAATTATGGTGAAGTAATGGATAGCAGCTCAGATTGAGGAATTGGAGAGCCGAGTTCAAATTCCAGTTGAATTCATTACATTCATTTACGTGCTAAAAACTGAAAATTGAATGTCTTTTTCAAAACTAATTTACCAGTGCACTTTTGGCCCTAGGGACTTTCTCTCCTTGGAAGGTTTTCATATATTCAATAATAATAATAATAATAAAGCCCATTACTGCATAGATTCCTTAAAAATTTATCTCCTTTTTGTCTAATTTACCTAACTGGCTAATATTAATCTTAGAAGGCTGGCTGATTTTAAATTTTAGGTACCCACCTCTCTGAAAAGTTTGATGCCATGTACTAATGGGTTAAACAGTTACCATATACTAACTTAGTAAAAGCTAATTAAATCAAGGAAGGCATGAAACTTATTTATTATTAAATCCAGAAGGTGTCCCCAGATTTTTGGTCTGTACTGTGAGTTTCATATACATAAATACATATTGAAAATTTAGATGTTGATAGCAGGCAATGTAAGTTTCATAAAGGCTGTAAGTACATGTTGAAATGTGTATTTTTATATTTCCTGGGAGGCACAATGGAGTAATAGATGGTGGCTCGGACTGAGGAATCGGAGAGCCGAGTTTGAATTCAAGTCGAATCCATTACATTCATTTACATGCTAATACCCTTGGGAAAGGTATGAATCCTCTTCTCCACACCAGCTATAGGTAAATAGTAGAACAGACCAGGTTCTATAGTGTTGGATGACAACTGGTCTACCACAGAAAGAAATGGCAACCTACTGCTGGAAGAAAATCTGCCTCATCAGTCATGAATCAAAAGATACACGATTGCCTAAGCGTGTATCATGCATGGCACATAACTAGCTATAGAAGCAAAAAGGAGATTTAGAATTAGAAAGACAGTTAAAATTTCTCAGATACATAAGAAAAGAAGGCTTGAAGAATTTGACTCACAGGACATACTGAAGGCAAGAGGAACAGAGAAAAGTGGCAAATAACTTGCCTAACAAGCTTGTGTAAATGGTAGGAAGACATAGGGAGTAGGAGAGATAGCGAAAAGCCAAACCATACTAAAAGCTAAAAAGAACAAGAAATTGTGGAAAGCCATGATCACCCCATGCCCTGAAGGGACATATCACATAGATAAAAACTGTAAAGATTCTGTGGTATTTTTTATTCCCCACCACTGGCTTATCCAGTAGGCCATTATTTAAATAAGAGGATGCAAATGAAAAAACTCAATATTTTCCATTTCACTGAAGCAGACATTAAATGCATGAAAGCATTATTACCTTCTCCCTCTTCCATCTCTTTTTTTTTCTTACTTACTATATGTCTTTTTCTCACTGAAAGCAACCAGCATCATTGATGTATCTTTTCTTCCATCTTTCCTCACAATAAAAAAAATAAATAATCCATTATTTATCTGTGATAATGACAGGGCGTGAAATAATGAAATACTCCCCAATAATACTTGGTTTTATACCTTTGTTTCCAGCAACACATATTCTCAATTTTAATGTACCCCAGAGTAAGGCTGGTCAGAAGTAAACAAAAAGATTAGGGATTTACTGTCTGCTGCTGCTACCCCAAAAATTTGTGAGCAGGGGACAAGTAAGCTATTCCAGAGGGTAACACATGTACTAACTCCCTAATAGAAGAACAAACTGAATTATGATTTTATTAAATTTAACACACTGACAAACTGAAAAAAAAATAACACCAATCATGATTTTCACACATGTCACATGTGTGACTCCATGTCTGGTACACTTAGTGACTCGTAAATCAACACTGACTGTAGAGTAAATAAAGGTTAGATCAAACAACAACTCACCATCTGTGTGGCCATACGATATGCAAAGGTTTGCTCTCGGGTTCTATCGACGGAGGCACTGACGGAATGTTATCGTTATTCTCATTTTTCTCCTCTGCTTTCTCTTGAAGATTCCCATCTTCTTGATCTGCATTGCTCAACTTACTGCATTTGGATACAAGTCCTGATAAACAGCCTTCATCCAGTGAGCGTTTCTGTGTTGAACTGGGGTAATTGTCCACCTGCAAGGATGCCAGGTAATCAGTAGCCAGTGAATTTGCCAAGCAGGAATTTTCTTTGTCAGTTAGTAAGTTTTCATCTGAAATTTCTACCTGCTCACCAGGCATTGTCTTGCAGAAAGCTGAGGAATTTACATGGAGTGGAGGCAGAGAGAGAGGAAAATGGACAACTTTGCATTTGGGGGCCAGTTTTTCAGCCAGATTTCTTGGACGGTAGTCAGGAATAAGCTTCAAAAAGGTAGAGATATTCTCCAAGAAAGAATTTTTGTTGTACTGGGAATTGAAAACCAAAGTATCTGCCACAAGGCTATAACAAAGAAAGGAAAGACATCAAAGAATTAAAATGAGTAAATGAATATGATTTCATGGCACAGTAACATATATATGGGTCATGCAGTGCCAACTAAATATAATATACAGTCTTAAGTTTACATGGAAACCCTGACAGTCAGAACTAACACTTTTTCTTCCATTCGCAACTCTAAAGACCATCGTGTAGTCAAACAGGTTTACGGTGAGAAGCAAATGTAAAACTGAAACAAAAGACAAAATGCAATGAAATAAATGCAGTAAAGAAAGGAAAACATATTTGAGGTGATCCTCAAAAATCAGGAAAATCAGAAAATTAAAAATGTTTCAAAGTCAGGACAGATTTTTGTCACTACCCCCTTGGAGGACAAGTGTATCCATGTCTAAGGGAACTACTTTGAACAATTAAGTTAAGATAGGTTGGTTAATTTAACATGTTAAAACTTGGATTATTTACTGCTGAGTATAAGTGTTATAGAATAAAAATCACAATGAATTAGTAGAGAGACTCATATATGTGCAGTTTATACTCAAGGCAGAAATATAGACCCAGGTCTGGTTTACACTTGAGGGAGGAATGTAGACATGCCAGATTTATACTAGAGGCACAAATGTAGACACATGTTTAGTTTACACTAGAGATAATGGAAACTAGGTGTTAGGAGAAAGTAATTTTTTTAGGTTCAAATTTCCTGATCTTTGGGGCAGAACCTATAAAGTATATTTGGATAGCAATTTTGTTTTCATACAAATTCTATTAAAAATAAAACAAATTAAAACTCATTGAAACTACTATAGTTCTTGTCTGATCACTAAAGTTAAGCAACATTGAGCCTGGTCAGCACTAAGATGGGTGTCCACTTGAGAATACTAGGTGCTGTAAGTTTGGATGTGCAGGTGGTATAATGGATAACAGCTCAGAATGAGAAATCACAGAGCCGAGTTTGTTACATTCACTTATGTGCTGATATTCTTGGGAGGGTATGAATCCCTCGTTCTCCTTCCATCTATGGGTAAATAGCATAATGGTTGGCAACCAATCTAGGAGAAGGAAAATTCTGAATCCAAACCAGCCTGAAGAGGTTTGAAAAAAGGAAGATGAGCTTCTTATAAGAGCCAACAGCCACCATGCAGTTTGGAGATGAAAATCTCCTATTCAAAAAAAGCCAGCAATTGTAGTATTATCTAACATGTGGCACTGGTACAGGGTGTGGTGCTATGATGGAGAGAGTGTGCATTGCAGGGCCCAAGCAAGTGATTACTTTAAACAATTCACAAGAGATACAATAGTATATCCAATTTAATTCTTCGTAATGATTCTTCTCCCCCGGTTAGCGATTTGCTAAAAACCAACATAGTTTATAAATTCAAGTGTCCTTTGGGAGATTGTATCTGCAACGAATTAAATATTTATGTTGGTCACACCACAAACTCGCTTTCACAATGCTTGACACTACATTTGAATGAAAACTCTAACATTTTTAGGCATTTAAAACAACATGCCTGGCCACACACACAATTCCGTAAAATCCTTGTCGAAAACACAATTATACTAAACATGAAAACAATAGACAAAAACTAAAAATCCTTGAAGCAATATACATCAAACAGTTGAAACCTGACCTAAACAAAATCAACTATGGAATCTCTACAATTGGTAACAGAAGCCATTGGTTTAGACCAACGGCTTCTCATACTTAATACTTCTCGAATCCACTCTCGCGTGGTCATGTGTGACATCATGAGCTGTGGTACGATTTTCGTTTTCAGCATCTTATATGCACATGTTTATCATTGCTTGGAAATCATCCATGTAAACAATAACAGACAATCATCACTGTCTTGTCTGTATATTGCTTAATATATTATACATTAATTGACATCTTTGTTAATGGCTTATGTAAGCCGAAAGCTTAGATTGGATTAAAAAACATGGATCAATATTGTGATTTTCTTTCTTCGTTTAATGATGTTATTAAGCTTATCAGACATTATGAAAAGAATTTACATAAAATAAATAGACAACACTTGTTTATATTATTTAATGAAACATATATGACAAAGTTAAAAAAACAAAAAAACAAAGAAACTGATGATGCATTTTATTTTGAGAAAAATCTTCAGATTTTATTGATGGAATTGGTGTTTTACTTATATATATATATTTTATAAATTAATTGATTTAAAATATGGTTTTTTCCGCTACACAGTTCTAACCATGTTTCAAAAATGGAAGTTTAAAAGCTCAGAATTTAATTTTGTAATTAAATAAAAGACATTAGTTCCATTTCATCATCAAATTTTTTAATCACTATTTCCATTTTTGAAACATGGTTAGAGCTGTGTAGCGAAAAAACCATATTTTAAATCAATTAATTTATAATATTAATGCTCTGTAAATTTACATTGAGCACTATTTTGTAAAAATAAAATATCTATAAGAACACCGGATTATACATCTTACTGTTCTTTTTTTTTTTTATATATATATATATATATATATATATATATATATATATATATATATATATATATATATATATATATATATATATAGGTTAGGTTTGATGAATTGGATTGTGTTTCCAATGTAATAAATTATAACCATGGAATATTAGTGTTTGAGCCTTTTATATTGTATTCTTACTCTGTTCTGGACATTGAGTTCTACCTGGATTCATATATATATATATATATCATTATATATATATATATATATATATATATATATATATATAAAACATGACATACACACACTAGTGTAAATCAAAAATTATTCACACCTTTGTCATAACATCTTTCACACTGCCTTCTGCTCATGCGGGCTTATAGTTGGTACTATTGCGGTCATGTGATCAAAGTTTGAGCTTGATCATGCCAGTTTTCTTGCTGCTTTTACAGTGTAAACATGGTCACTCCACTAGCAGTGTGCAGCAAGGAAGAAAAAAAAAAGCAGTGATCCAAATCTGCAGAGAACATGCTACCTCATTGATGATAATTCAATGGTTTGCATTTACCATCTCTTGAGCTTGCTGAATCTTCTCATTAGTGGTGGAGGTCTATTGGTGCCCTGCTCCTCTTTCGTGCCTCACTCTTGTCCAGCCATTTTTAAACTTCTTAATCCACTCATACAGACTTTTACGCAGTAGTGCACTGTCACTGTATTGTGCTAAAAGCCTATGATGAATTTCAACCTCTGATACACCGGACTAATGAAATTGGATTACTGCTAGCAGAGTGGCCATGTCTACACTGTAACAGCAGTAAGAAAACTGACATGATGAAGCTCATGACCACAATAGAACCAACTGTAAGCACACATCAGGAGAAGGCAATGTGACAAACCTAAAGATATGTTATGGCGAAAGTGCAGAGTATTTTTTTTTTTTTTTTTTTTTTTTTACTTACCCTTGTATATGAGTTGAAGATCAAATGTAGATCAGATATGGATAGGAATCGAACAAGATGATAAAATAAAGAACAAGTAGGAAATGTATCTCAATCTAACATGTTTCACCTTTATTAAGGCTTTGTCAGAGATTGAGAATAGAAATGAAAAAAGCAAAGAGACAGAGTACTGGTATGTTATAAGTTTTGGTTAGTTATCATTGGTCAGACACATGTCACGTGTATTAACACAATAGATAATATGTGTGAGGAACATTTTGGACATTAAAGTGTGTGATAGTGTAAGAGTGTGTAAGTAAAGAAACGCTTATGTGTCTAGGCATATGTTGGACAGTAACATTAATTCATGTAAGTGTATAAGTGTGTGTGTGTGTGTGAGGAATGTCTACAGATGTCATCTTCATATATATCGGTGAAATGTCACAATATCTTGTAACAATCTTATTTTTAGTTGGATTTTTATATTCTTGAGTATGTGTTGTGTGTGTGTGTGTGTGTGTGTGAGAGAGGAATGTCTGTGGTTATCAACTCTGTGTGGGTCGGTGAAACAAAGTAGGATATTGTAATAATCCGGTTTTCATTGGATTTATCATTAAAGCATTTCTCATATGTAGTTTTGAAAAGGATTTGTAGATTTTCATCATTTCATATATTAGACATAAGTTACATTCATGAATAATGGATCTGTAGAAAAATGGTGATATGATGTAATGTTTTAAGTGAGTGTTTATAGTTGGTAATAATGTTATAAATATATTTTCAAAATATTTTTGAAATATTTTAATAGTGTATATTAGTAGGCCTTTTGCTCAAATGAAAGCATGATGAGAAAAATGTTAAAAATCAGAAATTTTGGACACACCTGTGTCCTTTTTCAACAAGAAATAAAAAAGGAGGTAGGATGGGTTTTTTTTGGGGGGGGGATTTTTTTTTTTTTTAAACAATGTGTTATATTGCTGATTAAATCTATTAATTTTGAACTTGTTGTTTGCCATGATTAGGGTTGTAGAGGGTTTGTGGAAGGCTTTTTATGGAAACTGTAGTCAAGGTGTATGCCTAAATTTCTATGTAAGCTTAGTTTCTGCAAAAAGTCTCCCACAAATGATGACCAAAGCATGGTCCCATACTAATTGTTGTAGCATACCTATGGATGATAATGGGCATGTTCCCATTCACATAAATACAGTAGTAAATACTGTATGTTGGTCTGCAGGTGGAGATTAATTGAGGAATTCACTTGAATCACTTTTAGCAGTTGACTACTTCTACGTGCCACTGGCAAATCTTATATGTGTTGTTCTTGTCCTAAGTATTATTGTCCATTAGCAATCTTCATGTGATTATTCTATTTAGTAACCTTCCCTAAGTTACAAAACTAATAGTGGCAGTTAAAAGGATCTGAACCAATGAAATTGCAGAGTAACAAGCTGGAACCAAACAATAAACATTATTCAGTGATGTATTCAGAGTCGTTTTATCATTGTTGACAATGTGATAACTGTGAACGGACAGAGGGTGTGTTCTTTTAATGCTGCAGCACCACTGTGTGGGAGACACATCTTGGTTGTTATTTAAATTTCAGTTATTTTCCTTGACACAAGTTCTTTTGAGTGTCTGTATTGCTTTACTTTTTTGTCTTTTGTGCCTGGCCCTTCTCGTCAGATGAATTTTATGTGTGGTTAGGTTGTTTTTTGGTGATTTGGCTGATTGTTTTGGTTGTGCCCTGGCCAGATCTTATCACACAACTGTCTTTTACCATTGATTTTCAGCTGAATTTGTTTTTCCAAATTACTTCACAGTATTCCAGTTTATATATAAGATTAATACAAATATGAAATTTGTAACTTAGCTGATGGTGTTATATTCAGCAATCTGACTATAGATTTTTGTAGATAAACCTTCTTTGTAATTGTTCAGTCCACTCATCAGAAGGTATGAGCAAAGAGGTAGTCACTATGTATTATATTGTCATTTTTGTTGGGTGTTGGGGAAGCAAAATCAAAGGCTTCCCTGGGTGGCACACACACTAGCTATGCCAAGTATTTCACTATTTACATTATTCAGACTATTGTCCTCAGCTTTGTCGCCATATTTATTACAACGTTTCGGCCATTGTACGCTCTGGCTTTCTTCAGGTAGTTGGAATGTCAAACTGAACCCTTTATTTCACTCACTGGGGTAGACTGTTCTAGTTCCATGTGCTATGTTTAATGGATGTCAGCTATCAGTTATCTCCTGTTAATTCCACTCAGCAAGTTCTCCACTGCCTTAACCAAGTATTGCTCACACTCTTTGGGTCCTGTCACTGGATTTAACAATTTATTTTTATCCACTGTGCCATGTGTCCTTGAGGACAACCACCTGAAGGCCAGAGTGTACAATGGCTGAAACGTTGTAATAAATATGGCGACAAAGATGAGGACAATAGTCTGAATAATGTAAATAGTGTACATAATACCTCATGGCAGAAATATA